GGGGGGGGGCAGGCATGACCTGCAACTGGTAGGGAGGAAAGGTATGACCCATGAGTCGCCTGGGGTGCCCCCCTAGTGAACCTGTACCCCATCCCTCCTGTCCCTTCCCCACTCCCTTCCCCCTCTTCCCTCCTCCTCCCCCCACTGGGACTTCCTTGCTTGGCTCCAGAAACAGCAAATACTGATAAAAGCGGCTGCACCCAGAGAAGCTTCTGGGGTGAGGGTTGAGAGCACTGGCTGGGGTGGAGCAAGGGGCTGGGAGTGCAAAAAAATGACCAGTGCAAGGGAAGAGGAAAATGAAAAGAGCAGCTCCAGGGCTAGGGCCAGTAGTTGGGTTTTCCCAGTCCTGGGGCTGTTCGGAGGAAGTGGACAGAAGTTCCATGCACTGATTTGACCAAAATCAAATGAGCCTGATATTACATAGATCCAGGTTTATCGTAAACTGGGTCCTGCAATTTTTATACCAGTTTGTGTACATGGACCAGTTTGTGTGCCTGGAAGCTCTGTTACAGGTTTAGACTGATTGCTAGTCCCTGAGATCAGGTCTGTAAGTGCAAGGTCGGCACTAAGTTTAAATCGGGGGTCATAATGTGCCCAGCTTAACCTCCCAAATATCTGTACTTACCCTGGTGTTCATTCAATGGCTCTTTGAAGTAACACGTACTTGAAAATGTATTTGAGAATATCCAGAGCTTGAGAAGCAATCTTGCCAGCACTGTCAGCTGAAACCTGCTGCTTCTCTTGAGCTCGTTTTGAGTTAGTTTCAACGTAGTCTTCATTGACACTGAGAACTGCAGTTAAAATGAATATACCTACTGTAAATAAGCAAGCTGTTAATATTTTATGGCTCAAAGGAGCAAGAAAATACTGGTTCCTCAGAAAGCCTATAGTACACTTATCTGGAAAGCATTTGGCTTGCCCTCTGCATTGTTATTGCTCTGTAAGAAAAAGTGACTAATACTAATCTCTGAGTTACCAAAAAGCAGCTTGCACATGGATATTCATGCTCTTGACACTGACAAGTAGGACCGGACTTTTGGCATGCCCTTTTTGTGAAGAAGCCAATCTGGACAACTTCCTACATTACTGTTGCCTTCTTGGAAAATACTTAAATTATTTCTTGGAAAGTAGCTGAAGGTCACTCAGAGTTCTTCTGGGTTTTACAGTATTTATTCTTGCATAAGAAAAAGTTCTGTTTAGGTCCCCATCCTCGCCAACATCCAACACAGGAGTGTTGGGATGATACGCACATACTAATCAGCATAGAGAAATCCTACTGCTGATAACAAGAAGTGATATGCAGGTGCACATTCATGTTTACATTTAGTTTGTTTGTTTTTTTTAATTGTTTAACTGTCCCAAAAGCTATGCAACAATGTGAATGCTAAAGTTGCCCCAATTATAGGAGGGAAGAGTTCTAGTATCATTTCTTTGATACTCATCTCACTATTATTAGCATTAATGAGAGGAATAGTAAGTGATTAACATGAATGTAGAGAGTATGTTAGCCAGTACTGTACTGTAGCATACATGTAGACTTTGACCGGGAGCAAATTTGGTCCTCGTCAGCCCCAACACTAGGGGGCCACAAGAGATGGGAAACTTTCCTGGTTCTGGTGCTACTCAGCTCCTGGCTCCCTGGATGGGAGCAGCACCTGCATGAGTACTGTCCCACCCAGTCCTAGCGCTACTCACTGCCCTGTCCATAGGAGTTGGGAGCAAAGCAGTGCTGGGACTCAGGAGCTCTCTGCTTCAGGATTTCTCTGCTTCCCCCCACAGCTGGGGGCTGGCCCGGAGCTGTCCTGCTTGTGGGGCAGCTTCTAGCCAGTTCCCGTCTGCACAGGGATTTCCCCAAGCAGCCTGAGCTAGCCAGGAACTGTCCTACTTCTGGGGCAGCTCCCAGCCAGCTCTGGGCTGTGCAGAGATTTTCTTAAGTAGCCCAGGGCCAGCTGAGAACTGTCCATTTTGACGCAGCTCCCAGCCAGCTCCCATCTGCACCAGGATTTCCCCAAGCAGCCTGGGGCTGGCTGGCAGCTGTCCCGCTTCTGGGACAGCTCCCAAATGCATGGGGAAACTTCCCTGGGCAAAACTGCAAATTGAGGAGGTCCCTAGGTATTAACAACTTCTGGCTGTCACATGGTCACAAGCATGATTGTATACCTACCCGCAGCAGTTGCTTTTTTTGTGCCCCGAGCCCCCAAGGTTGCAACCAAGGCAGTTGCTCCATTTGCCCTCACCTAGTTACACCATGGATTCAATTGCTTGCTCCTGACAGAATTAGAAGAAAGAAAGAGTCCAGACATTGTCCCAACTGCTTGTTCTGAGATCCTTGGATTTAGGCATCATGTTTCGCAAAATGAATTCAAGTTGTCTCTGATATAAACACCAGCATTTGGATAGAAAACTAAAGGACAAATAAACAAGACATAATTACAAATGTCAAAGCACTGAATTGTGCTCATTAGTGCTCTGGTAAAAATCCATTTTTGGTGTGGCTGAGTTAAAGTTTTAGAAATGCATGTGGTTCATGTGCCCTAATTCTTCTCATGCAGTGTCAGAGCTTACCCCAGTTCCACTCTGTAAAATGTCCTTGTGAAAACAGCCCTGGGACATTTTACAGCCCTGAGACAGACTTCCAGTTTGTCTCTCAGTGACTCCAAATCAAATTTGTTCAGTTTACAGGTGACTTTAGTTATCCTACGAACAGCCCTATCCACTTACTGCTTACCAGTTATCACCCCATAACAGTTCTTGAAAGCCACAAAAACACAGACAAGCATATAATCTTTAAATTATGTTTCATTATACCTCTACTTTGCTGCATCACTGAAGGATAGAGGCTCAACAAATGGGACTGAGGACAAAACTTGGAGACAGTCAAGTTGGGAAGACATTACTGATGGCATGAATTCATAGAGAGATGCATAGAGTTTATTGTTTAGCTTTTTATAAAACCAACTTGGACTTAACCCTAAGTCCTACCCAGCCAAGTCCTCAGGCATGCTCCAGGTGGGAAGTTTGCCAGTGAGATTGCTCTGGGCTTGTCCCTCTGTGTATGAAAGAGGGTGCTGGAGATAAGCTCACTAGTAAACTGCTGAGTTTGTACACTTTGGGGGAGCTGTACTCAGCTCTGTTGTCCTGGGGCTTGCACCTGAACTGGCACTGACAAGCCCTAAGTGTCCTGAAACAATTGGGATTCAAAGTACATTGGAAAAGACAGCAGCACTAACAATGACTATTGATGAAGTACATAGTCCAAAGCATCCTAGAATCCACAGATGACTAAGATCAGTGTTAACATGACCTCTGTGCCATGGGCTGATGGGACAAACACTCTAGGGCTGCATACAACATTCTTACACCATGTAATTCTCCCTCAGCCCTTGGGAGGCTACTGATGGTCCCTCTACACAGCGGGGGTGACACAGGGAGGTGGAGGGTGGGGGGAGAGGGTCCTTTAATGTTGTTGAAAGAGATAAATAACATAATGCTCAACAATTTTGCTCTAAAAATAAGCCACCTCTTTTAACT